TTATTGACTTCTCATACAGAAGGTAAGGATTTAGCCCCACAAGTTTTTTGAATATTCTTGTTTTCAACTCTCATAACTCAAAAAAAAAATATATCATTGTATCAGCTTATGGAATTAAAACAGAAATTACTTAAGGTGATCCAGATGTTTTAAAACATAATAGTCTATTCTAGACACTCAAATTTTAATGCCCTTATTTTCCACGTTTTATAAGCCTGAATATCTGTTGCTATGCTTATCCTCTAATCCAGTGCTTTTCAACAGGTATGCCACAAGAATTTTTGAAACATGCGGTATCCTACTATTTTAGTCATGGGCACTGACCTCTTTTCCCTTAGATTGTCAAATAAAGTATTACAACAGCCAACACAACAATAGCTATCAGTGTGAACGAATCAAAATTATACCTATTTTTTTGGTCAGATCGGTAAAAAATATTTTTTGGTGTGCTGCAGAATTTACTAATTAGTGTATGTGTGCCATTAGATGAAAAGGTTGAGAATCACTGCTCTGGTCTCTTTTTTCATCAGGGATCCAAATTATAGCTCCCCTTTCCACAGCTGGCCTTGCCTCCCCTACCCACCCCGACCCTCACTCCTGGGGCCTCACTGCTTAAATACTCTCATAAATGTCTACACTCTGGATATAAAAATAAAGAGTGGGAGTTATCCCTGGTCTTTATATCCAGAGCGTAGACATTTATGAGAGTATTTATGCAGTGAGGCCCCAGGAGTGAGGGTCAGATGTGGGGAGTGGAGGTAAGGCCAGCTGTGGAAAAGGGAGCACTGGAAGCAGTCCAGGTGCCCATCAGTAAATGAGTGGATCAAAAAGCTATGGTACATTTACACAATGGAATACTACGCAGCAGAAAGAAAGAAAGAGCTACTACCCTTCGCAACAGCATGGATGGAACTGGAGAGCATTATGCTAAGTGAAGTAAGCCAGGGGATGAAGGACAAATACCATATGATCTCACCTATAAGTGGAACCTAATCAACAAAACAAACAAGCAAGGAAAATATAACCAGCAACATTGAAAGAAAAAAGAAACCAACAGTAATGTGAGAGAAGGAAGGAGGCGGGTAACGGGGAAAGGAAGGGAAGGGCTCAAGTCAGGGAATGTGTATGAAGGACCCATAGACAAAGCCAAAGTGGGAAAGGATTGAGGGAGGGAGGTGGAGATGGGTGGGGCAGGGGAAAGTGATGGTGGAAAAATGGAGACAAATGTATTTGAACAATAAAAAAAATAACAGTTTAAAAAAATAAAAATAAATACTGGAAGGTATTTGGTAATAAACATAACTTTTCATATCCTTTCTCTGCCACTACCTATGTGGCTTTAAGCAAGGTCTTTACTCCCTAAATCTGTTCCTTTGTCTGTAGAATAGGAAAAAATAAATCCTTATATGATTGGAAGGAAAATAAATGAGAATGCATGTAAAGCACCCAGGGCATAACAAGTGCTCAAGAAATACACTGTTCCTCTTCCACATTTCACTAGCTGTGTCCTTTGCATCTTTCAGATATGCACAGGAATCTTAATTGTGAAAACACCTTCACTTCATTCTGATGTCTTTAAACTCTCTTTTTTATTTCTTCAATCCTAAATTTAATCAACAAGCATTTTTGTTCTGTTCACGTGTCTTTGTTATTTGCACCACTTACCTGAGCCTGAGCCTTTACTCCTTCACAAATGCCCTGCTGCAATGGCATCCTTTGTGGTATCCTTGCCCCCCAGTTCCTCTCCTCTGCACATCCTGCCACAGCCAGCTCTCTAAAACCCTCTTTGGCCAAATCACTGCTCTGCTCAAACACCTTCCATGAGTCCCAAATACCTAAAAGATAAAGTTAAATTTCTTAGCCTTTTATAGAATGGCCTCCATCAACTAGACCCCAACATAGCTTTCTAGATTTTCCCATGTAATTCTTCTGCTCTTGCTAAGTTATCCATGACTTTCCTTTTTGTGAATCAATGCTCTGTGCCTGATGCTCTCCTTGCTCTCGATACCCACACTGTAGACTCATGGATCAATCTAATCCTGCTTTCTCTCTGAGGTATCTCTGGCAGTCTGTCAACACTAGGATTTCTCATCTCTACAAAACAAACAAGCTAATTCGTAGGGGATTGATTTTATATATGCGCTATACAGTTATGTCATCTAATTTCTTGTGGGATTCATACCACATCTTATGTATAAATGGTAAGCTCGTTAAGAAGTCCCTTGTGTTTCTTTGTATCCACTGATGTACAGAACCTAGATATTTAAATATTTATTCCTTGAAAAACGTTTTTCAGACATTAAATTTTCGTTCCTATACCTGATTATAAAGTAGGTACCTTTGGAAGCAGTAATAATTTTTTTAGGTGCTTTAAGGACCTACTTTATACTTTTCCAAAAAGCAGTAGCTCCTAATTAGGGGATAAGAATGAGGAAAAAGGGGAATCCACATGTTAAGTCAGTATTTTTAAAACCCTAACAAAAATACTTGACCCTAGGCAGGCAGGTCATTAAGCTTATGTGCTATTGTGTAGAACTAATAAATGAACTCAATATCATGGATAAACATGTCATTCAGGAATCCTCATTGGTTGTTGGTGACTTCCTGGGAATTTCTAGGCACTACAGAGGGAAAAAAATATAACACAAGAAAGTTTAATAAGCAGAAAATTTTTGAAACCATATCCCTGAAGAGTAAAGAAACCATGGTTACCTGTTGGTCTATTGGACCAAACACTTAAATTTGGCTATAACTTTTATATGATGTGGTCGGATATTTTTTATTTACTTACTAAATTTGTGCCTTTGTTTCATAGATATTATGCCTTAGAAGTCTCATATTTCAAGTCGTCTTTGGACCGCAAATTGCTTGAGCTTTTGTGGAATAAATATTGGGTGAATACGCTGAGCTCCTCTAGCTTGCTTACTGTAAGTACTCCCAAAGAATGCATTTGAATTTTATCTAGGCTATATAAGATGTTTAAAAACTAAAACTCTTCTTCGTGGAATGACTATACCTGACTTGGCCAATACAGCAGGGCTGGGGTCAGATTCTGCATGACCAGAGGTGGATTAAGATAACAGGCTAGGCCAAGCCAAGGTTTGTATTGTATACTTACTATTGAGACTAAGTCTAAATGGCCAACATGGTGCCCAAATGAGGGTGAGATCTGTCACTGCCTTAAAGAGACTTACAGAGAAAAAAATCCAAATACCCTTTTTTTGTTCTGTTAGGTATTTCAGGTAGGACTCCAGTTACAAGTGACAAGAAGACCCAACCAAACTGGCTTAAACAAAAAGAGGATCACGCAAACTGCAAAGTTCAGAAGCAAGGCTTACTAGTTTAGCCTCAGCTAAGTGTGCATTCAAACAGCATTTTGAGGTCTTGATCCTTCTCTCTCAGTTTAGATTTTATGGCAGTTGGCTTCAGTTCCAGGCTTCATGTGAAAGCAAATGGCAGCAATAGCTTCAGACCTCGTAGCCTCTCAGTTTCATGTTCAAAAGGGAAGAGCGAGATACACACCTCTTCCTTTCTGTCTCTCTGCCTCTCTCCCCAAAGTGAAGTCTTACTGTGTCTGAGCTTTGCTTAAGTCACATGCCCATCCTTACACCTGATCTGGGCCAAGGCAAGTGTTTGACTACTAGGCAGGGGTAGAAGAAACTCTTCAGGAGCACATGGACAAAGGATGGGGAATCAGAATAACATTACCTTAAAGCAGCAGGTACTGGGCCAAAAAATACCATTAAAACCTGATATAATTAGAAGGATATTTATTTATTTAACAAGTTTCTATCTATTGTATCTAGAGCATGGCCAGGAATAGTATTTATGTTTGTTTGGTTGGTTGGTTGGTTGGTTGGTTGGTTGGTGGTTTTGTTTTTACTTTTTTAAGTAGGCCACTTCATATAGTACAATTTAGCGTAATGGTTAGAATCACAAAATTTGGAATAAAATTAACTCAGTTCAAACAACTGTGCCACTTTACTGGCTGGTGTGACCTTCAGAAAGTTATTTAATGTGACTGAGCCTTTCTTGGGCTCAATAATACTAGTACCTCCATCATTAAGTACATTGAGAAATAATGAAATACTTTATATAAAGCAGTTAGCAAAGTGCCTGGTATGTAACAAAACCTCAATAAATTTTGTTATTGTTGTTTGGTTCATTGTATTAAAAGAAAAAGACTTCAGTTGAGCATATTTACTATTATTTTAAACAATTCTGAGAAAGTTTTCTTATTTTTTTATCCTCAACAGTCAGAAGTAGCAAATTAGAAGGAAGGAGAATGATCATAACAGCAAACAGTTTCCTATCCTCCAGACACTGCTAAATGCTTTATATGTGTTGTTTCCTTAGAGGCAAGTGTACTAATAGCAGCCAGAAGTGACACATGATGGCAAGGGGAGAAAACACTAAGACCAGAGCAGCCTGAACCTTTTCGTAAAGGCAAACCTACCTCCTCAGCCTATGGCTGTCCCTGTATTCCAGCACTGCATATATTGAGGACATTAATAATCAAAAAAAGGTTAAATTATATTTCTTCCTTTCTTACAGTTTTACATATAGTCCATTGCAGCATTTTAAGTAAAAACTATATAATTATATACTCATTTCCTTTCCCAGATAAAGCATGTAACCTAAAAGCTACCAGGAAAAAAAAGTAATTTTCTTATTTAAAAAATTAGTTCCCTATGTTTATTTTCTGTGCGTCTGTAATGTAATTTATGTCATTTTATTTCATTTTACAATATAACTGTTTCTGCCATCCTACAGTTTCATGGCATGAACTAAATCTTCTAAATATGAAGTGGTCTGTAAACCCTTATAAACCTTAGGGTTTTCTCCAAACTGTGTGTGTGTTGGAGGGGGAAGCAGGTGCAGTGTTGGTGGTGTTGGTGTCCTAAGCCATTTAGATCCAGACAAACTGAATATAATTATATTTTTTAAAAATACAAGTTTGTAAAATCATTGAATTGCTGGTAGCATTTTATTTTATTTTACCTTGTTTGAAACTAGCCCACATACTATAGAGCAGACTACAAGCACTGTGGGGCCAGCTTCATTATTACTTGTCCTCCTTTTAAGCAACCAGCAAGACTGGTGTTGAGATCCAATGGGAAAGTGAAGTGGAGGGTGAGATGTTAGTATTTTAAAGGGCCCTCTGTAGTAACTACAATGACAGCAAGTAAGTTCTCATGTATGGTGATTAAACTATATTTCCTGTACGCTGTCTTACAAACTGAGCAAATAGAGTAACACAGTGATCGTTGCCAGGTTGTTTATTAAATCTACGTGCTCTTCTCTGGAAGATACAGGGAAGAAATGGAATGTGTACTTCACAACTGATCTTTATGAAAATTTGTTTTGTATTTTAGACACATTCTCAAAAAGATGTCCTACAAAAATCTTTTTAAAAATATTACAATTACATGTATATGAGAAACTAAAAATTTTTGTTTTTGAAAAGTAAGAAATATTGAAGGACAAAATGGTATATACAGGGGTGGGCAAAAATAGGCTTGCAGTTGTGAGAACACAAAACACAAGATTTATTTGCTATTGCAATAATCATAACCTGCATGTCTCCTTCCATGAGCGCAACTATAAACCTACGTTTACCCCTGCTTTCCCCCACCCATTTATATTCCAGTTTACCAAATATAGGTGTGCATGTGAGCATATAGCAATACTCTAAAATATAACTGTGGTTATAGCTAAGTGGAGGGATTATATGTGTTTCTTTTCTCCTTTATATTGTTCTGTGTTTTCCAGATTTTCTGCAGTGGCAATTTTATAATCAAAAGCAAAAACAATGTTACTTTTAAAATATGTCATAAGTGCTTATTCTGTAAGTTCAACAAGAGCAAATAACAAAATGTCATTTTCCATCTACAGGATATATTGCATAAGAGTTGTTAAATGAACATTCTTTATATAAATGAGTTACTCCAAATAAAAGTAAAATGTCATTAAATTTTAAAAAACGAACAAACAAGAAAATTAGCTAATGATTATTAAGGCTTTGCCAGGTGCCATGAAGAGTGCAAAGAGCTTTATATGTGTTACTTAACTTGATCTTCACAATAGCCTTAAGGTAGAAATTATCACCTTTGTCCCCCATTTTCAGAAGAGGACTTAAGGGCACTCTCTCAAGGCCTCCCGGCTAATCTGCAGCAGAACCAGAACCTGGGCTCAGAGCTGTGAAAGCCTCTCATTATGACAGATACTAGATTTCAGCAGTCAAAGGAAAAATTTCAAATCTAATCTTGAAGTTATAAAAGGGTGAAAAAACTACCCACTCACACTGCTTGAACTTTAGAGTCAGCCTTTGCAAGTTTCGTTTGACTTCCTAATTCACTGACTATTCACTTAGATTTCATGGTGGAATTCTTTGTAAATAACATTCTATATATAAGAAAATTAATTTACATTAAGAATGTCTAATAGTAGGCTTGTATTCTGTACTGACACAGTACCATTTTCCCTACAGAATGCAGACTATACCACTGGCCAGGTCTTTGATTTGTCTGAAAAATTAGAACAGTCAGAAGCCCAGCTGGGACGAGGGAGTTTCATGTTGGGTTTAGAAACACACGACCGAAAGTCAGAAGACAAACTTGCCAAAGCTACGCGAGACAGGTAAGAGCAAATCTATTCCTTTCCCTCTTTTTGTTTCAATATTTGCAAATAATAGCCCTGACTGGTCTGGCTAAGTGAGATGGACATTGTCCCGCAAAAACAAAAGGTCAGAGGTTCGATTCCAGTTAAGGCACATGCCTAAGTTGCAGGCCAAGTCCCCCATTGAGAGGGGCATGCAGGAGACAACCGATCAATGGTTCTTGCAAGTCAGTGTTTCTCTCCCTCTTTCCTTTGCTTCCCTTCTCTCTAAAAATAAATAAATAAAATCTTTTTAAAAATATGCAAGTAATAGTAGGACTCAAATTCCTTACGGTTTAACTTTCTTATGACTTAGAATAGTACCTAAATAATAACTTCTTGGGAACTTTAAGGGTTGTCAAAGGCTGATTTTAACTTTGAAAATTTAGGAGACATTAGATAAGAACATAAGGGCTTAAAAGTCTTTTAGTCATTTAGTTAATATTACAGAAAACTCTCAGTCACCTTTTCTAGGTTCAGCTAGAAAGGGAACAAAGAAAACCAGTCCATCACTGAATTATTTATTAAAACAAGCTTTTGCAAAAGGATGTCTTAATCCATTCTAATGCCATTTTCTGAGAGATTAAAGTGGGATTTCTTAAATGTATCAAATTTTCAAATTTTTATAGTTTAAACCCCTAAGTAGTACAGTGATGATTGTGTCTCCCTTGTTATTCTTATGAAATGATCTCTTATTTAATATCCCAAATTTTACTAACAAAATTTATTAGGAACAAACTTGGGATATATTCTCTGATAACTTAGGAAATAATTATGTGGCCCTTCAGATGTATACAGGATTGGGAAGACTACTTAAATAACCTATACTTTCACAAAAATTTGAATTTTAATGTGATAATTAGGGGCAGGGAAGAAAGGAAAAGTATGTTAACACCTATATAAACCTGAAACCTTAATATCTTAAAAACTGGACTGGTGGGTGGGACAGAGAAAGAAGAAGGAAATACATAATATATTAGGAGCAGAAACTCTCCTGGGTTAGAATTACCTCATTCCTTTGTTCTCCAAGGGTTTTCAGAAAGTATAGATAAAGCTATACTCATGGCAGTAACCTGTTTATAAATTACATTTTCCTTTGACATTAGGTCTCAATTTTGGTACTTGCTCTGAATGTGTGTTTTTCCTCATTCATCTCTATAAGTCTGTGATTTGTAATTTTATCTACATTTATATTTCAATTTCTTTTGAAGCAAAAATTTCACTATGGGAAAGCCTCCAATTACATAAGAAGAAAAGTAGAAAGAACAAAAATAGTATAAGAGTAAAGAATTTCCTATTTTGGTAACTTTACAACAATTGCATCTCTTTGAATATTGGTAGATTGTTAGCATTTTGTTGCGGGGGAGGGTGCTTTTTATTTTTTAGCAATTTTAAAATCTAAGTCCTTCACTCACTAACGTAACTGACTTCTCATTATTTGAAGGATGTTCGTGATTGTTTCAGGAAAAAAGTAGAGGATTCTTTAAAATCATTTTTTTAATTATTCAAAGTAATAAACAACAAGGACAAGAATAACAGATTTTAATGTAGTATTAGAATATGATTATGAATTATGTATAATTTAAGGACTTTCTAAAACAGAACTTTTCCCAGAGCTGCTGACAATTAACAAAACTATTAGGAATTATAACAATTACTTTGTTATTCCTTGTGAAGGTGCTCTTAATAGTGAAATGGTCAAAAGACATGCAGGAGGCTAAAAATAATGAGAGTAAACTATAAATTGATACACTTTGGGGAGAATGAATGGAACTAAAAATCATTACTGGGGGTACAAGGATGGAAATGGAGGGGACTTGTATATTTGAAACTGTTTTCAGGTCTTATAACATTATGTGATGTGTTTTTTCTTTCCAGCTGTAAAACTACCATAGAAGCTATCCACGGATTGATGTCTCAGGTTATTAAGGATAAACTGTTTAATCAAATTAACATCTCTTAAACAATCCCTAAGTAGTACTTTTGCCTGAAAGCCAGTATGAGAAAAATACTCAAGTAACACTTTAAAACCAGTTACCAAAAATCTGATTAGAAGTATAAGGTGCTCCGAAGTGTCCTGAACATACTAACATCCTGTAATAAAAGTCTTTGAAATCAAATTGTTCTTTTATTCTTTTGTGGGAGGGGTTACATTATTTTTCTAGCATCCTTTAGTGTTCTTGAGTTAAGGGAAAGAAATTAGAACCTTTCCATTTTTTAAAAAGTCTTGCCTTTCTAAATTAGTCAAAAGAATTTCAGCATCTCACTTGCCATACTGATTATAAGAGCCCCTTTTCAATTTGCCTATACATTAAGTCCTCACTGAAGGTCTTTTAGGACTTCAGCAAAACAAATTTTACCATAGGATAAAGGATAAAAAGAGTTAAGTTCATAGGGCATTTCAACAACATTATAATGAAATGATGTTGAATAAAACAGCGTTATTTGAGGACCTCCCTTTGATAGCCCATTAGTAAAAATACAAAATTTAACGTGGTATTTTTGTCTTAGGAAACATTAACCAAGTCACACCATAAATTATTTTCCTGAAAATCAAATAACTTGAGACAGAGCCCAGCACAGGATATCTAGCCATTCAAGTATTCGCCAAGTGCCTTCACTAAACCAGACCCAGTTATACTCCCTGGAGATGTTTAGGACAAGATAGACATGACCACTGTCATCACAGAACTAAGTAAACAAGAACTGAAGGATACTACTATGAAAGAAATAAACTGCTGGGGAACTCTTGGGAAAAGCACTTACACAGTTAGGCCTCCTGAAGGAAGTGCCTGGCATAAGGCTGTAAGTTGAAAGGTTGGAGGACTAGCCAGATGAAGCATAATGAGGAGGCAAGAGAGTACAGGAATGCATGAAAGGTCAGAGGCAGAGAACAAGAACTTTAGAACCTTCAAGAACTGAAATTCAGTTAGACTTGAATGTCGAGTAGAATGTGGTGAGTGGCAAGAGATAGCTTGAATAGATAAGATGAGGGTAGATCCTGCAGGAGTGTTGCAGACTATCCCAATGGCAGTAAGGAGCTGATAAGCCTTAAAAAGCAGAAATGTACTATATTGATGTTTCTATGTGCATTCTTAAGAGATTTGGGGGTGAAAGCAGATGAGATGACCTATGGCAAAGTGAGAAGAGGATCCAAGATGAATTAAGGAAACATCAGATTTTAAAATGGCAGAGGGAGAGGAGATCACAGGAGCAGAAAAGTCAAGATTTCAGAATTATTTACAAGTGACCACATGCTGCCGAGAACTCAAGGAAAGCAAAGCCTAAAAATTTTCCATTAGAGCCATGAAGTGGTCTGTGGCAAGATGAGGAAACCAATTACCATTAGTATCCAAAAACTTTCTCAGTTGATATAATAGCATTTTGGTCTCATTTTATATCCCTTTAAATAAAAGCAGAGGCCCCCAGTTTCAGATGGTTCAACGTGTCCCCCATTTTTGTTCCCTTTAAAAAAAAA